AGGACGCTCTTATTCATTTTATCTATAAAATGTATTCATGTAGAATAGTGCCGATATGCATTTTGCACGACTGCGAAATATCGTGAAGATATTTCAACTAATCTGCAAAGACAACAATATCTTGGATGATAATTTCCATCAAAATTATTTCAATCTCCACTCGTTATTTGACAACTATATTGTACAGTTTTTACAGTTTTTTTCTCGATATCTATCTACCATTTCTCTCTTCTAGAACAGTATCGCCACCAAAGTATCGACGTTTCCGAAAGACGTTTCCGCGATGGGAGAGGGTCAGGGAAAACAAAAGAGGTTTCCTCCTTTCCGGCCGTACTCGTCGCACGTATTTTCAGTGGAGAATAATAAATCGGCGCCGAGTATCCGAGGCACCGATATCGCGGCTGTTCAAAAACTCACGTAGTTATGTAATTTATGACTATTTTCCGACGTCCTCCCCAGTCCGGTTCCGAATAAAAATCAGGGCAGAAAAATATCTGCGTGAAGCATCGACCGGTCGTGCATCGAAATGACACCGAGTAGGGATAGATCGCCGGGAAAAATTCCGGGTAATCCAATCGAAGCTTATCGGCAAGTGGAAAATTCTTGACTCGGAAGATGATTGAGGTTTCATCGTCCTCTTGCCTCAATTGTTCTTTAAAACTCTACTGTTATTACTTATTCTTATTTTAACTCTATATTAATTAAAAAAGAATTTTAAGACGAAATAGAATATGAATCCGCTAAAATGTAATTATAAATAAGATAGATTTGAAAAAGGCATTAATATTTTTATAATTCACATTAATTTACTGAAAATAATTTACGTTCCAAAAGTGATTAATTTCTTAAATTTTGATAAGAATTGTATGCATAAACATGCATATGGGATTTGTGTAGTCATAGGTACACAATTATATCACACAATATAATTCAGCTTCATAATTGTTTTTATCATAAAAATAAATATGTGTTAGTATGTTAATAATCAATATCTTTTTCAATATATCTTTTTAACGAAATCTTTATTCCGGAAAACTATATATGAAATATATACAATTTAGAGCATTTATAATTTTTTAGACATTATTATTTTATATCCAACAAACACAGATTATAACTGCAATGTTATAGCAACATTATAACATTTCAGCTATATTACAATGTTGCTGCAATATCGCAATTACAATCTGTGTTTGTTGGGATATGTGAAATATTTATATTTATTTTTCTCAATAAGTAAGTTGAAATAGATACGATTAGGGAAGGATTATCAAGGAGCAATCCTCTCTCTGTTGCTACTTTATACAGTTATCAAATTCATCCTTTGTTTTGAATCTTATCAAAGATGGAACGCAATAAGCCGACAATTTGCAGTACGGAAGGGGGAGGGAAAAGAGATAGAGAAAAGGTTGACGTCAGAGAAGAAGTGAACGAGATCGGTAACGAGGAGACACGCGAATGGACACGGTAGCTCTGCGTATGGCGCGCGATGGAACAGAGACCGGTTGTTAAAAGAGAGGTGGCAAGGTGAGGAAGCGAGAGGAGGCGAGGCGGTGGCGGGAGATAGAAAAAGAGGAACGTGCGGAACTCGGGAAGGAGCACGAGTCGACGGAGGAGAGAGAGAAAGAGAGAAACGGGGAGAAACAAGAGCGGTAAAAATGAATCGATAGGCGGAGTTTTTCATGACGCGCCGCTAGAGGCGCTCCAGGTGGGGGAGCGCAATAGGCGGAGTCAGGCTGATTTAGGGCCGCCATTTTGTGACAATGGACGAGAGGGGGTATGCCTATCTGATTGGCTGATCTACGGACTTCTCTCGTCCTGGACAAGCTTCTACAGATTGTTCGGTTGTACACACCGCCGGGTACTCCAGCCACCCGGCAACCCGGCAACGCCGCCACCCCACACCGTGAGTTTCTCCTACCCCGCTGCCGACGGTGACGTGCTCTCTCTCCCCTCCCCTCCCTTCTCACTCCTCTGCTGTATCATCGCGCGCATACATGTACGTACGTACGTGCGTACACACACACACGGAAAAAGCGCCAAGTCCCAATCGCGTAGTAGAGGAATCCTCGCGAAAAATTGCAAGCGTTTCATATAGGTACGGCTCGCTCGCACGCATGCTTTTATCTGCCATCAGAAAATGTTGATTGCAATATTTCGCTTCCGCTTAATCGAACACGTTTGTCTCTTTCTCCGTTTCGTTCTCTCGGACGAACGTCGTCCAGATGGACACTATCGCGTGATCTCCTTTAAGGATTTTTAATTTGGCAGAAAACACAGAGAAATAAAAGTGCACGAGGACGCTTTCAAAGTGTAGATTATGCAACGGTCTTCCCGATGAGTAGATTGATTAGATTCACTACTGGTTAGCAATCGCCAAGATCTACATGACTCTCTTGCCTCACGATTGCGAAAAGTTGTTGAGCGTGTTGCCAAGAGTGTTTTGTGGATTAAAATGCATTTCCCGAAACAGTTACGACTCGTCATTGTCCAAGAGATTGAATCGAATGATTACGTCACTTAAATTGTAATTTGTCTGATACCTACTAAATTCTTTTTATCTTACATAGGCATTCTATGTTGACATTTATTGCATGATTCCGTCCTAATAATAACAAATGTTCTTCATCAGTTACGAAGAACATTTTCCATTGTCTTATCTTATAATTTTCATTTTAAGAAGTGTATAAATTTTCTATTGATTTTTTCTATAGAGTTTATTATATTCTTTACATATAAGACAATTAAGAAATTAATATTTATCAACAGTATTGAGTGAGTAAACTTACATCATTAAAAAATTCAATATTATCCAATCTAAGATCAATTAATTTATAGAATCTTATAATAGCAGAAATCGACAGCCCGAATTTTCGATCACGTATCGCGTATTGTAACGATTATGTATCTGTAACATACCGTGTCTCAGAAAAGCTTGGAGTCACACAAAATGCACCTAACATTGAGCATGCGATGTAAACAAGAAGATTGCCGGTATCCGGCTACAATTAACGTAAAAACGGTGCGAGAACAGCGGGCAGGCCAGAAAGTCTCGGCCGCGCTATCGGATCGCACGACCTGGGGCAACCTGTAACACGGTCGTCGTCGTTGTCGTCGTCGTCGTCGCCGTCGTCGCATCTCGCTCGGATTTCAAACTTCGGATTTCGGAGGGCGTGTGTATCTTAATCGCGGTATCTCATCTAGATAGGCCGCCGGCATCAAGATCGACGGCCCGCTCGCTCGTTCGTTCGCGCGCGCACGAGTTACGTGTCGTATACGCAATGTAACAGGCGAGGCATGTGCATGTGAATGCCATGCGTGTATTGTGCGTATACGCGAGTGTGTACGTATCTAGCCGGTAATCTTCGCGCGCGGGGCACGTGGCTCGCGCGTTCGGGCTCTCGTTTTCCTCGATCCGATCTAAATTCGGATCGGCCGATCGCGTGGAGAAGGCGCGCGTCTCTCTTTCATCACGGGAACCACATCGGGGATTCCCAGCCACCTCGCGCCGCGTTGATCCGACGGAATTATTCAGCATCTCGCCGGCTCGTGCTGCGATCTAGATAACCGAGTTTTACGCGATCGGCCCGATTCCCTATCTGTCAAGAAGCGCGTAAACGAGCCGAGAGCGGGTCCCTCCAAAATGTTACTTGATGTAACAGATTCGAATGTAACATATTACTTAAAACGTTCCTCTGCTTTTTTGTTGATTGGTTGATTAATTTACAATTAATTTTTACTCGATAAAAATATTAAAGAAAATGTAAGATTTTGAGTAATAAACAAAATGTAAAGATATTTATATTAAGCCACAATGTGAAATTTGATCGATTAGTCTACCAATCGATTAGTCTACCAGTTCAAAAGGTTTGCGAGAAAGATTAAAAATTATCTGCGATAATTTCATTCGTCATTGCACTACGATGATACGTTAGATTTTCGATTGGCTGGTGCGTTGATAAATTGTCGACGTAAATAGCACCGCTCGCGTTGCCGTTCGATGCAATATATTCAAAGTAGACTATAGAAATGTATCGTGCATGCGCGTCCTGATGGAACGATTTGGCACTGTTGAGCCGCGGTATCTGCCAATCGGTGAGGACTGCATTAAATCCGCCTGGGAACATTGAATTTTCCGCTCGCGCGCGGGCCTCCCGCTATGGACATTCCGAATCGCATTCTGAACACTTCACTTCGATACTGTTGCTAGGTAGAGGAGACCCAGCTATTTCCCAACTCGTAAATTATTTCCGTTAAAAGCAAACAAATCGCTTGTTCACGTGTATATCACGTGTACATTCCTCATTTATGAATTGACTTCAATAATCGGTGCAAGTTGTATGACTCGTTTGTACATTTTTTCCCCCCAACTGAAGGCACTCTCAAGAAATATTTACATCGTAGACTATTTATAACTATTTATTTTCCTTCATAAACCGATATCGACAAAATAAATGACCGAAGCAAGCTCGATGCTCGAAAGAAATTACGCCTAAGCTAAGCGGGTACCGCCTTCTCTCATGAATATTCAGTTGGCCAATAGAAATCTGTACCACGACGGTGTAACAGCCTAAAAATTTCAATAACATCATCGATCGTTTCTGTACAAGTCCCTTCACTGACTCTCGACGGTATTCGAATTCGTATCCATCTCATTATCCGTTATTATATTACGCTACTAATTTTATGAAAGCGCGAGACACTTGTCCTTTCGTCGTTCTCTCGCATATTCTCGTCAACGGCGTTGACAGCAGCGGCAATAACATCATCGGTGGAGGTACGGTACGGCCACGGGCATAAGTGCATGCGGGTGAACACAGTGCACTTCTCCGTTGGAGCAATGGTGGGGAAAGAGAGTAGTTACGCCCCTCTGGTAGGTTGGACTCTGACTGAAGGCGGCGCCAGGATTGGCCGAACGGTACCGAACATGAACGAGCATTGCCGAACACGCGGGAACGTGGGGGCTCCGTGCAGCGCAGTGTTTTCATGCGCTTAGTTTCGCGCCGGGTGCCACGACAGTCGCATCGAGTCGAGTTCGCGCGCGCGTGCGTGCGTTTTTTGAAAAAAAAAAAGAAGGAAAAATCCCGAAACAGACTTCACAGCCGCACTTTGTCTACTCGATAAGACGAACGTGACGAAGAAGACAGGGAGGAGGATGGACTAGGGGCAAATTTTGTGGCGGAAGGCAGAAGTACGGCGAGTTTTGCGCGCCAAAGTTTTACCTCGTACAGTGAGAGAACGTTGTCGGGTATCGGGATCTTCGTTCTCCAGGAGACAACGTCCGCAGGCAGAAGAAGAGTGGAAAAGCAGAGGAATCAGCGAAAGTCAATCGCTCCGATCAATCTGCTTGCGTCCCCCCTCCCTCCACCTACCCACCCACTTACTCACTCGCCCGTGTCGAGTAAAACTCCATGAAACGCTACAATGTGCTGTGTGTGTGATGTACGGTGCAGTGTGTTGGTGCTAACTTAGTGATAACGATATTCCCCCTCTCCTCCGTCGCGACTACATCCGCGGAACCGACAACAAACTAGTCGTCCTGTTATCTCAACCGGGGATTGCCGCCGGGAGATAAGGTAAGGGCAGACAGCGTCCACGATCGTAGTGGCTTGATTATCCGCGTTGAATGTTTCGCGACGGGGGGGCACCACGCCGTACTAGCGCAGCGCAAATATCTCGCGATTGCTTACTGGCTTGGCCTTTACAAAACCCATCCTGCCGAGTTACTTTTCCAATCTTTGACGCAAAGCGTTACCAATCCGTTACAATTGTAACGCGTGATTAGCGTAAATATTTGGTATTTGACTTGCCCTTAAATCTGCGAAAGTTAAATCGTCGCGAGCAATGTGACATTTCATTTCGAATGATGAGGATATGGAAGGAAAGCAATTTGCATTGTATAACTAAATCTTACTTTCGTTTCTGAATATTTTAAATGTGCTTCATGCGTAATTAGGTTGATAAAATAAAGTAAAATAAAGATAAAATAAAGTTTACATCGCCTATACGCGAATAAAGTATCGTGATTTTATCAATATACAATACAGTGCTAATAAATCGTTGTGTTTTCCTTATTTGTCATTGAGATTTGCCCTGTGAGCAGTGACTGTCACGTCACATGTTATTCAGTGACAGATTTTTTATTAGACAACATGACTAAATTCTCGATATTCCCAAATATTGACATCAAGATCACGCTTAACTGCTCCAAAATACATTTCAAATCCTATATGACTATAATAAATAGAAGACCTATAATAAAAATAAATAGGACGTCTGCTCTAATAAAAATAAATAGAGCAACCTGAATGATTCAGCACGTTAAAAATTCTTCTGACCCGTTTAGGGAGGTATTAGAAAATATTAAAGTGGTGAACACAATCCGGCGAGTCATACAGTTGAGTGATCTAGTCAATTTTCTCACAAATGCTCGATTGCGATTAAGTTGATTTATTTATTATCTATTATCGATGGTATAACTTTCTGTCTTCAATCTATGACCTACATCTTTTACAGATGATTACATAATTTTTTGGTCCACGAAAAACCAGACAAGTTGAGAATGAAGCGAATCGAGAACTTAGACGAAAGCTGAATAGTCAGAATTCCGACGGCAGGTAGATACCGGTCAGTAGGTTAGAATAATACGTGCAAGTGGACCCTTTTTCGACACCCCGTCGCAACACACTTTATATGCTCAGCAAAAATGTCAAATTAATATCTCTTGACGATTGTCCTCTTCAGCTTTAACAATATATAAGCGTTATTTACGGACTAGTTCCTTGTTGAAATGACTAATGCATCTAATGGTTACAGTTAAGCCTAAACCGCTAAGGTTCCACTTGCACAGGTTCTTGATCCTGTTCCTATTTTGTGCTTAACGGCAATGGGGAAACTATTTCAGAGCTCTTGTTACCTGTAGCGAAACCATCATCATTTGTAAGGAATTTGAAAGAAAGCAAAAATTTTCGGGGATTGTTAATCACAATTACAAATAATTACTGAAAAACCTGTAAAATCCGAATGTACCTACAATTTTCACTGTGGCTGAGGTAATAAATAAATGATTATGTAGCTGTAGGGTTTAAAATTACACATATAAAATCGAAGATTGTCTGTCGATAATTTTTTTCTTTCAAAATATTCGTCGCTTGCCATTAAACACGAATATTTTACAATCCCTCGATATGTAAAACATGTTTTATACGTTTACGATACTGTTGAGTTATTGCAAATTGTGCTTACAGTTTGAACAATTTATATCGAATAACGAATGAGCGAATAACTGTTAACAGCAAAGCGTTTATTAATGTGATATGAATCTTATCATTCAAAATAAATTATTTTTTATCTTCCTCTTTCTTTCTCTCTCGATCTGAGCTGAAATGACGTATTTTATTACGTGAATAAGAAAAGTGTCTTCTTCCAGCAAACGATACCTCGCTATACTTAGCTGGTAGTAATCCAAAACTTTGTTAGGTATATATAATCCGAAGAAACTTGCTACTACTCCTATTTCTAAAAAATTTCTGTCATGGAAATTATTTCGTGAGCTTGCAAACTCTGATTGCAACTAACATTATAGCACTAGTATTAATAAAATTTATAGTGTTACGAAAATTTATTACAATTGATTGATTATCACATCATAAGAACTTTCTTAATTTTATTGTTAGTATTTCGAAAGCTGTCTTTTCTTAATCTGTTCTAAGTAACTTAATTGTTGTTGGTAACTTTACGAAATTAAACATTCTGGTATTAAAATCATTTTCTAATCATTAACAGTAAATACTTAAAAATATTATACAGTTTTAATTATATATTTTAGATTTTGTTACAGATACATAAAAATAATTTCTGTAAATGTAACAATTGGCGTAAAACACAATATTATATTTTCTCTCATCGAAATTATATTAAATTTTTCAACTAAAGAAATTTATATAAAACATTAAAAAGACATTTAGTAATTAAATATATACATATATGATCGCGATTATACGACTTCGATATCGTTTGCACTTTCATACCTAAATGGAATTCGCTTTCCTGTTTACTATACCACCTTGTGTTAATATATCTTCTTTTCTGCGGAAAAAAGAGCGAATAAGAGACATCGGAAAAGGGGAAAACATCAGATGGCGGTTCGCGTATAATTGGCGATCTGCAGGTGTGACAGACAGGCCGGCGGTATAAGACAAGTATTACATGAAGCGCTTGGCTAGTATAACTCGGCTACTGTTCTAACTCGAAAATAGAAAAATGCGAAGACGGTAATATTAATCCTTGGGTAGCAGCCACACGGTAATATTAACCCTTCGCGTTTTCTGCAAGGTTTTCTGTCTCGGGCATTTGTCTACGTAAACGCAACATGAGAGAAATTGTGAAGCATTAAATGTACTTATACTTCCAACTTATTTGAATCCTGGCTTATCCGTCTCCATAAAATTTGATAGATCTCACTAATTTTATCGCGAAGGTATCTTCATCGCACCACGGCATTCGGCCGTCATTGCTCCGTTCATCTCTTGTCTGTCCTATTAAAAATATTTATGATATATCACTTTATTTATTCTGAGGAGTCAAGAAGTACACAAAAATCGATATGTGCTACTCTTGCATCGCAAAATTGTCGCGAAATGCGTCGAAATTGGTCTCGCCTTTTTTTTTGCTTGCACACCGCGAATCCTTTCGCCCAAGAAAACATCCTTAAAATTCAACTTCCTGTGCGACGCTCGGTAAACGAACGAATTGGCCACACGGAAAGAATGATTTTGTTGAAAGATCTAAAAATTTTGCTAAAAACAGATCTGAAAATAATTTTTTATTGAATCGTCAAAATAATTTTTAAAACTGATAAGTATTGCTACAAAACGTTTTGATATTCTAGCAATCATTTTGACTTTCGCACAAAATAATTTTGATTATTGAACAAAAATTATTTTCAGATCTGGATTCAGCAAAATTGTTTTTTCCGTGCACCGTCGGCCAATGTCCCTTCGAGCTTTGAAACTTAAGTTTTTTTCCCCCTTTTCTCGGGCCACGGGGGCGTATCGCGTTACTGTCTCTCGGCGATCCAAGTCTCTCGCGATCCCGATTGTTTCGTTCCCGTTCCGTCGGGCCGCGGGCTCCGGCCGATCAGAGGTCCGCTTTTCGAACTTGCGCTCGCCGAAGCAAGCGCGTCGATGACGTCTCTCCTCTTATTTTCCACGGCCGTGACAGTGCGTGTCACGGGCCGATGATTCCATTATTCTTCATCCCCCGACGGCGCGCGAACGAAATACATAGTATTCGTTTTGGGTTCCTATCAAGTTATCAAGCCGCCTTGCGGTGAACGCGATCGGTATACGTATGTACCAGACATGTCACAGTGAACGAAACGCTAAAGCATCTCGTGGAAAATTATGAGGCGCGTTGCCGTTCCATGTTCGACGCAGTAGAATCGAATATGTTTAAGCGTATTACGTAACGTGATTTCATCAAATTTTCAAGCGGTATAGCTAAGAACCGCCATACTTTCCTACGCTAAAATAGTTCGATGCCTTGACGCAGGAACGACCAATGCCATTCTACATTTTGAAAGTAAAGGGAATAAGATAGGAACGCGCGTTCAAAAATGTAAATGCATTTGCTCCTTGTGATCTTGAACAAGGACAGATTATAGTGTTCTACTCCACTCTACTCCGAAGGTGCTGAAACTGACAAAACCGACGGATTGTGTCGTTATATTCTATTATGTTTTATTCACACATATGGAGGAAATAGTATATCTTTGCCATCGTCGGCTCCAATTGCTCTCTCCAGTCTTCGAAATCTCCGTCGAAATTTCGACGCTATACGTATACATATGTATGTGTGTATTTCCGAGTACCGAAGCCTGTCACGACGTTGACGCCGCCGCCGGACACTTTGAGGAGATTAACGAATTTCGATAAGATTAGCGATGTGATACGTGATCGAGGAGTTCACGCCGATGGAGTTTCGTCGAAGAGTGGACACAGTGATGTAACCCGGAGTAGATAAGATCCACTAGATCGCACCGGATTTGACGAAAGTACAATTGATTTGAGACAGAAGCGAAATCGAATCCCGCGGTCCGTTATAATCGCGGGCGAAATTCTGAAAAAACGCCCCGCTTCTCGTTGCCCTGTTAGTTACGCGAAAAATATCGGATGCGATATTTATGGCGTATCAGATATAGAGCCGTGCAGGCAGAAAAACGTACGATCAAAACGCACTTTTGATTAATGCGGCGTGGCGGGAAGGTTAATTTTTCCCGCGTTTAATTATTGGCGTTACAATTGAGACGTGTACAATAAATCGCGATATACCGCGAGGAAAGTCCATTCGCACCGGTGAAAACTCGTTACATCGACATGCTATTACGATCGATGAGATCATCTTTATCGCAATAGTATATGAATAGTATAACGCTTATCAGCTGTAATTATTTCTTCGGCGGTTCAACGGACGTGCTCCAATTTACTCGAACCTGTTCTCCTCACGGTCACCGCATGTAATATTCACGATATATATAAACGATACCGAGATCTAGGAAGTAACCGTTTATCGTCTTGTCGTCTTATGCCTCACGTGAAGGATCCGAGTATTTTTTTTACAACCTGTCCTTCGCTTTCACGTACCGCGTCGAGTGTCGCAATCACTCGCGCTCGCGGTTAAAGTCTACGATATTTTCGTGTTTGATTATCTAGCCCGGGATTTTCAATCGTTATCGCGATTATCGAAAAACCCAACTCACGATCCGTACGTGTGATCGAAAGTGCATATCGGTCAAGTGTCTGATTTCGATTATCTAGAGCCGAGTATCTCTTAATAGATTAGACAACTTCCTTCGCGTTCTAATTTTCGATAACAATAACAAGATTTAAAAAATTTAACAAACTGTCAAATTTTACCTGTCAAGAAAGAGCAGAACGGGAGAAAGAAAGCAGAAAACAAGAAATTAACATGAAGAAATGAGTTTTTTTATTAATAATTTCCTTTAGAACAAGTTCTGCATAGTATATTATTACGAGTTTTGTAATAGTAATTATTTAAAAGTATGAAAATATTCATATGTTCCCAGTGGTAAATATTCGACCATGCTTAATGAGTTAAAACGACCGCTATATGGATGCGATAAAAATAAAGTGCGCGGCGCTCTCTTTCTCTCTCGTGTGATTTATATTGCCAAAAAAATATTATTCCGATCGTGAGATATCTCTGAAAAGTAATCGCTCGTTCGTCTTGCGATCGTGTCGGATGATACGGTTTGATTGATCTGTCCAAATTTAGTTATATCTATGATCGATCGAGTCCGCGATTATCTTTCCGACGTTTTTGGCGATAACTGCCTAAATTGGGCGACAATTTGGTACGTCAATATTTTTTGGTCTCGCTTAATTAATGAACTGCGTGATTAGTATATTACTCATTATTAATATTAAATTATACTAAATATATTCATAAAAAGTATCTGGACTAATGAGAGAAATATTGGGTTACGTTCGTGTTATGCATATTGTAATCATTAGCATAGCTGATAATATTATCTAACACGGAAAGAACAAGTTTACTGGATCCAGATTAGAAAATAATTTTTGTTCAATAATCAAAATAATTTTGTTGGAAAGTCAAAATGATTGCTAGAATATCAAAATGTTTTATAGCAATGCCTATCATTTTTAACTTTTATTTTACTTTTATTTTATTTTAACCAACAAATTATTTTGATTATTGAACAAAAATTATTTTCAGATCTGTATTTAGCAAAATTTTTAGACCTTTCAACAAAATTGTTCTTTTCGTGAACGCATGAAATACATTTGCAAAATATATATATATATATATATATATATATATATATATATATGTATATACATATGTACATATACATATATGTATATTTTATATATGTATTGTATATGATATAATATATTAATAATAACGAGACAGAATCTCGAGCTCAGCTATCAAAATTAATCGGATATGCGTGTCACATTCCTGTGCGATATCAATCCTTATCGATGCTACACGCTTTTTCGTGTATATCTTATCGCGCTTTGTTTTCGAGTGCTTTATTTGCTCCGGGCGAGAGTGATTTTTAGTGCAAAGTCAAAAAGGAAGAAGGAAAGAAATGTAATGTCACGTCCGAATTTGTCGAAACAGTTACTATCACTATCGTCGTCGTTCTTTTTGCGCATCGTAAGATTCACTATTTTGCGACTGAAAATGAAACCTGTTGACTGGCGTAACCGGTTTCTCGAGAAGGATATTTTTTCGCCGGAGAGCCGCGTATACGCGCACACGCGGGGCGTGTTTTTTAGTTCTCGCGACAATAAAAATTCACCGGCGGAACTTTACGATTTCTAAGATTCAGAGATAGATATCTAATATTTCCGAAAACGTGCCCCTCTCTCTCCCTCTCTCTCTGTCTTTCTCTCGATAAGAATCCCGCCCGCCTTCTCTCCATCTTTTCTCGCGGGCCGTCACACTCTTTTCGTCGTCCCTTTTCCTCTCGCGCACCTCTATCTGGATTGGGCGATTAAACCGACCTGTCCCGGTTGCGTCATCGACCTTGATCGCCCATAAGCTGATTGATAAATCATTTCGAGTATTTGATCGTCGATCGTTGATACTCAGTATGTTTCGCACTAAAGCGCTGATCAGGACCTAATTACTGTAGATCACGCTGATCGATTATCGAAATTCGACGCGTTACGCTAAATTCAACCATTCGGGGTAAGTCTATTTTTCGTGCATTTCCTCCGTCTTTATCGAATCTACAATATTGAACGAAAGAATTTCTATTAAAATTCTTTTCTTAACGTAAGAAAGAAATTCAGCGTTTTGATCGGAAAGGCTTGAGTGTAACATCTGACGGAAACGAATCTAAAAATCTGTATATCAGTTTTGATACCTCTAAATATTTACATTCTGCGTATAAATCAAAGTAATAGAATATTGCTCCAGATATTTTGTTACTTATATAGAATCGTGAAAAATTCTTGGTCTGTTCAGTTATTCACGTTTTGATGTCATACAGTTTACAAAGTGAAATAAAAACGTCGTCGGATGCAGTTATCTTTTCTCCAGTTGCCTTCGTGCCGGATGAAGCGAGAGAATGGCGCTTCGTTTCGATCGTTCGCGAATCATCTCACCGTCTTGTTGGTTTTCGCGCTCGATTCGCGGTAGAAACGAAAGAGAGAGAGAAAGAGCGAAAAAAAGAGGTGGAAAAGACGTCTCAAAACAGGCGGCGCATTATGCAGCTTGTGTGCGCGATGAAAGAATCATTGAAGCGTCTCGTGTTTCGGTATTAATTTACTGCGTGCGTGTCCGCCCGGTTCATGACACGCCGTTCTTCCTTTTACGCGACAAGGGCGATATCGGCAAGCCGGTAAGGATACGCAACGTAAACCGGTGCGGTACGGCACGGCACGGCACGGCACGGCCGGCGGCGCAGCGCGGTGCGATGCGATGCGGACGGGCGTAGCTTGTCGTCGTGCACGTTACAAAGTTGTTCATTATCCCGTACCCACATTCGTGTATCGCGGTTACACGATCGCGCCCAGAATCCGAGAAAGTCGCCCGAGCGGACGGCTTTATTGAAATGACGTGTCGAGAGACACCCCGCGCCCGAGACGTTGTCTCCCTCCCTCCCCGACGCGGTGGTGCGAGATCGGGCTACGTTCGATCTATTAATTAATATATCGTAATAATAATTTTCGGATTTGACAGCGTCTTATTAAGTCAGCTCGGTCGCGCGTATATCACCCCGCTCGCTCTCCCGCGAGTGATATAATTAATTAACACCGCCGCGGCATGCGCACGTGTGTCTAGCCGTTTTAACGAGGCCGTGCAAATCGCGGAATTATTTATTGCTAATAAAGTCGGAATTTTCCCACCGCGCGCGGCGCGGCTCGCGTGGATCGCGTTCGACTAAGCACTCCAATTAACTTCATTCCACGTTTGCATATAATATATCTCGTGCATCTCGTGTACGGATGGTATTCACTGCTTTAGAGTAATTGTGTCGTATAAATCGATGTCAAAACGACGCGCGTCCGATTGTTATAATTTATTCCTAAAGAGAGCGTAAAGTAATTTCGCGTGTGTTCAGACTTCTTAAATATAACGCTTCGTATAGTTCATTGATTATCTCGTACCTATACGTTCTTTTTCACGCGCAATAGAAGGATTAACCAAAAACGGGAAGGGATAAGCAATCGAGATCAACGACCGAGCGATCAGGAGCAAACTGAACTAATCCGTGCCATTCGATTGTGTTTTGCAGGACGGAGGCCAGGAAGAGGTTTCTTTCGCTCAGCAAATCAGACCAAGATTACCTATGATCCCACTGGGCGTCGCGAGGACGACGGAAAAGGAAGAGAGGCGCTTTTGGCAGTACTCCTAATCTTCCTCCCGGACCTGCCCGCCCGTTCTCTCTTCTCTCTGTACTCCGCTCCCTCTCTTTCCTCCCCCCTCGCGCGCCTCCTCTTCCCGCTGTTACTCCTCCACCTGCTCGTTCCTCGGCGAGCGATCGCGACGCACCAAGATCCCGTTGGACACGATGGACATGAGCAGCGAGTCGAGTGCTAGGACGTGGTATGAGACGCCCAGGCTGGAGCCGCCTTCGGGGGGTGCCGGGGTGGCCGGAGTGGTCGGCAACGATTACAGGGGTTACTACCCTCACACCGGACCGACGGCGCATCACCCCGCAGCTGCGGCCCACTACGCCCACAGTAAGTACACACGTCGTTCTCTCTCTCCTTCTTTTAATCGCTTACATCTTCTCTCTCTCTCTCTCTTTCTTTCGCTTTCTTCGCGAATTTCCTCTCCAAGAAGCTGTCGTCGCGGTTCAACGACCGACCGCTCGCTAACATTTCCTTTGAAGCAACTTAGCGAGGTCGAAATCAAAAGAAGCGAGGACTCTCGAGAGAAGAGGGTCTTACCTCTCTTTTTTTTTAGCGGCGAATACCGTGCGGCTATTAAGAGGATAATACGTATAATCTTCGAGCCACTTTGTAGCGTTATCGATTGAAATCCGCCTCAGCGATTCCCGACGCGTGCACGATAGAGGCTCCCGATTGCGGCAGTACGGTTTGTCGCGAAGACCCGCGCTTCCTTCGTGCATTAAGTATTACGAGAAAGAAAAACCGATACAATATAAATCGAATAGAGCGCTAAGATCTTGTAAAAGAGGCGAGAATCCTTTTATAGAAAAAACGAATCTACAATGATAAGAGCATATATACCCCGCTGCCGGCTGCTTCTCGCGTGTTTCGCGATGCGGTCAGGTCAACGACCGTCGAACAGTCACCTCTCTCTCCCTCTCTCTCTCTCTCTCTCTGCGAGCACTACTCATTAATTAGAATTTCTATATTTAATTAACGAGGCGTCTCCGAGGCTATCAGCGCCATCGAATGTCTCCCCTGATGCATCGCCATTTCGCTCCTCTCCTCCCCTCCCTTCCGCCCGGCTAGATACCTGCCTCGATAATTAAATTTCTACCACGGCTGATAGGCGCGTGACATTGTACCACTGGGAGGCCCCGGCGGAGTGACAGCCGTAACATGCCATTGGGACAGTTTCTTAGCGCGGCGCTAATCCATCTCGAGTGTGCCCCGAATGCAGGCGACACAGAAGGCGCCCTCGAGGCGCCCTCGAGGCGTGTATACTTTCGAGCACGCAAGTGCGTGTTGTATTACCCACGTGCCCGGCGCGGTCTTTTCTCGTGCGCGTCCCGCACACTTAATTCCGCTCGTGTCGCCTATACGTCCTCTCGATTCTCGCGAGCCCCGGCGAATGACTTTCCATTTGGCAAGCGCAACCCTTGCCACTTCTCTAGCGCGTGAATGACAGCGCGAAGCAGTGAGACGGCGCGCGCGGCAAGAAGCAAGGACGATCAGTGTGGCACCGGCGAGACGGACGGCGTGAATAAAGCAGAAGCGTAAACGCAGGAAACGTGTGATTAGTTGTCCATAAAAAGGAAGTCATCCTAGGGGGGGGGGAATAATGTAAGAAGCAACGCACTTGACAGTTACACATCAGGGGAAAAGATAAAAAATATAATTTAAATAGGGAAAAGGGAATAGGTGAAGTCCACCGTACAGGATGTCTCAAAAAAGATTGTATTAGCAATTTCGGAAATGACAAAAAACATACTTTTTTTTTGCAAATTTTGACAATTTTATTTGCTACTTATTTCATGTAATAATTGCTCAACGAATTCATATAGTGACCACCAAAACGGTTGGGAATGAAACAAAAAGCTAATAACATCTCCTCGAGAGAAAATGCTTCAATTATTTTAGTCGAGTTTAATATCTGTTCTTTGGCTGTCGCGTCAGTTTTACTTTGAATACGTTACTCAGTAGCATTTATAAATCTTAAGCGAAATTTTCTGTTACTCCATGTATAATTCTGGCCAATAACAAGCATCGTCCCTCTATGTTTCTAACTCCATGTTCTTAAGAAATTCCACGCGAGAAAAGATTTTACGGCGTCACGCAAAGAGAAAAAGAGAGTCGTTTCGTGGGGAGGCACGCTAGGCCGATAGTGTGTACACTCTAGATGTACGTAATCTCGATAGCTCCTGCGGTTCCTCGCTGTTGGCCAAGCATGAAAAAGCATAGCGTATAGGTAGAGAAATGTAGGTGTAAGATACAGAAGACGTAAGGACGAAAGAAGTAAGGAGAAGAGAAGTAGGAGGCAAGGAAGAAAAAAAGGAAAAGAAGATGAAGGAGGACGAGGCGAGTGTTTCATTCGAGGCTCCTCGACGTGCTAAGGAAAATTCAAAACAAGAGGGATGAAGCGAAAAGAGAGAATGACAGGAGAGAGGGAGAGAGAGAGAGAGAGAGAAAGAGAAAAGAGACGGAGGACCGTTGACGAGAAGGCACGGATGAGAGGAACGAGAGGGAAGGCCAAAAGGCCAAAAAGTGCGTGAGGAGACCGTGGAGGAAACACGATACAGCCGGGCCAGATCTTGAGGCCCTTGGAAGGCGATATCCCTGATTCGTGCCGACGTGCATGGATCATACTCGGCCCTCTGTTAGCTCGTGGCCACGAAAAAACGGCGGCCCTAATCAGAATCAAATCTGCTGTACGATTGTACGTCGAGACGACGTGGAAAAAGCGCGGAATTTCTTGCGACTTCTGGCCGCTCCTGTCGGGGGCATCGGCGATTTCTCTCCCTGCCAGCCGACTGAAATCGTTTATGACTTGGCGGACGGCCGCCTTTGATTTCCGTCGCTCGCGCGCGGATGCGACCGCGCCGGAAAATCCGAGCCTCGTTCGGGCGCGTCCCGAGTTTTGACAGCCGCTGATGAGTAGGGCGGAAAAATGTCGACAGCCAATGAACGTCCAGTGCTTCAAAGAGTACGATCTTAATCACCATTAATGATGCTAATTCAATCCAAAAGACTTAATTTGTAAATATATAAAAATTTCTGTTTTTGGAGAATAAGACTTCAGTATCTGCGAATAAGTGTAATATAAATACGTATATAGAGACAATGCACAAAGACTTGCATAATCGTTTAACTTGGGATTGCTAACAAAACCGAGTCGTATTCCTATATTCGCTAGACGCTTTCACGCGCGCTTGACGCCACAAAGCCGGGAATATTTCCCTCCGACGATTTCCGACGGTACCACGTACGTTTAGCGAGAGACAGAAAAACAGAGTCGGAGAAGAGAGAGAGAGAGAGCGGGGGTTGGAGGGGGAGGGAGAGATGGGACAGCGAGAAGTGATGCTAAAAGAGGAAAAAAATAAATAAACAAGATAGGCGGACGCGCACGGAGAGCGGGATGCATAATACACAGTGGTTGCGGCACAGACAGGAAGGAAGCGCAGCCAACCGCGAAGCCCGCGGGGTCTGAGAGAGGTGCATACGTAATTGCGGGGCCACGCGGGAGGCTCTCTTTTCTCTCTCTCTCTCTCTCTCTCTTTGTCTCCCTGTCTTTCGCTCTCTATCTCTTTTATAAGTTAGGTCTTGTCCCTTCCTCGCTATGCGCTCCTCTCCCTTCTCCGCCGTGCGCGATCCCGTATCCTCGTCGTCGTCGTCGTCGTCGTCGTCGTCGGCGATGACGATGACGACGACGATGAAGGAGAAGAGGATCCGGTGTTGCTCCGGGCCGGAGCGGCACGACGAACGTGGCCGGTTCGCGCGCGTTGCTCCGGTGTGCAAAATGTGTGCAACCGCGGCACACACCGACCGACCGGCGCCATCTTGCGCAAATGCACACGCCAGCTGAAGGCGGAGCCTCTCCCGAAGGGCCTCTCCGTCGCTCTCTCCTGTCGTTTCTCTATCACTGTCTCTCTCCTTCTCCCTCTTTTCTCCTCCCTCTCTCTCTCTCTCTCTCTCTCTCTCTCTCTCTCTGTCTCTCTTTCTCTTTCTCTCTGTCTAGTTCATCGTAGCAGATGCAGCTTCACCGCGATCAATCTTCCTCCTCGTCGCCGCGTTTCGTTCCCTCCGTAGTCTCCTCTCGCCTCCGACACAGACACAGTGTGATTCCTCCGCTCTCTGCGGTAGCTCCGCATCCCGGACGAGCTGGTATATCCGTCCGCCTCCGTTGCCTCCGCGCGCTTCGGGAATTTGGGGTAGATCTCAGTACCGATTCTACCACCAACGCCGATTAATTCTCGCCGGTGTTTAAACGATACTCCCTCTCGAGACCGTAATACTGTAGACTATGAGTTAGAAATGATCTTCAAAAGAACCGTATCATAAAGATGGCAAACAGCTCGCGACTGTCAATCCTTCGACTTCAACATCGAACTCTTCGTGAAGCGGGAATTCAATTTCCTGGAATGAATTTCTACTTACATTCTCTTAGGCCGCATATTTTTCGCCTGGGTACACTTACCCAGGCGCCTTTTGCGATCGAAAGGGAAAAAAAGAGAGAAAGAGAGAGAAAGAGAGCGAGAATTCGATCGGACGGGAGGATACGGGGTGAAATTGCATGTTATTACGCGAAAGCTGCTGGGGGCGCCCGACATGAAATGAGACGTTATTTTCAACGGGAATTTCGTGCACGTACCGGGATTATATTATAAGGCGTGTGTGCGCGCGAGCTCCCGCAGCAACGGGGAGGGGGAGGGGGTGAAGGGTGGCTTCTTACCCGTGGGATTCTTTCGCGGGCATTCCGCGGCTCGACTGGGCATCCCCGCGAAAACTGCGACCCTTCCTTCCCCGCGGATCTCTCCTAACGAAAGTCATTCGCGCGAGAATCGTTAACGAGTTATTCCGCCAGAGATTGCGTGCGTCTCGCCGTCGTTGTTACGGGCGATAATTGGCCCCCTCGGCTTAACCGCGAGAATAATGACGAGCGAGTTTCCATCGGGAGGATCTCTCTTTCGACGGAAAATGGAATTCAGCGGAGCGGCTCCTCGTCCTTGTCGACGTATTCGCGATAACAATGCTTATCGCACACGAGCGTGCCGCGCGTTACGGTTAACGAGGCTGCCGCGTAAAAATAACGCGTTTACGCGCGGTCGGCGGCGGATGTTTTTCAACCGAGGCAATATTTTAAGCATATCGTTTCTTATTAGCGATACTAATTGGAGCCTCGCTTATAGGTGAGTCTCGTATTTTAAAAAAAAAGGAAAAAAATATGATCTGATTTACATCGAGATTCCTCGACCCTATTCCGTTTTTTTTTTATGTTTTCTACTAATTTATGACGACACAAATTAAAGTATTACACTATTCAGTCGATGTTTTGAGTCAGTTTATAAAGC